AAAAGAAACACTTATTTCCTTTTTAATTTAATTATAAGTTGAGCTGAGATTTTTGGATTCACACTGATTTGAAATAACAAAGAAAGATTTGTCCTACCTATAAATATTTCAGCCTTTTAAATCTTAATCTCCCTATAGATTGTATAGTTTTGTTTTCTGTGGTTGTCCACATTTTTACGTAAAGTATTATTCTGATAACATAGCTTACTTAACATATGAGATTTCACATTTTGGAGAAACCACAGACTCGACTGAAACTATTTAGATCTCTATTTAGATGCTTTATTAGCTTCTCATACTTTCCAAACTCTCCCTCAAAGAAAGAATGCTAACAGGCACACCCAGTTTGATATCTCACTGTTGTCTGATAGAAAGTAATGACTTCTACTTTCCTTTCTCACTCGTGATTGACAAAACATAACCACTAGAAGAGCATCACCACTTCTGACTCAATGTTTCCCTAGAAACTAAAAGTATTTTGATGCTCTACTTTTGAAAGTTTGATTTTTAACATAATAAATGGATTTATTTTTGCTTTGTTTGGCAGCGTATTTTATTTTAAAAATTATAGTTCTGTGAAATTATAGGGTCAGATTTTTTTTTCTTGCCCTCAGTTTCATTAATCATAATATTTTAATCAGCAGTGCTGTTGCTGGTGATTTAGCTAATCATGTTCTACTAGTTTTTCATTCCTCTCAGGGTGGAGCAGCTTTTAGGAATGAAGTTAGGGTGTCAACTCACTTTCTTGTTTACAGTATAATTGAGTAATATCCTCATTCTTACCATTGGAATACACAGTCTAGGGATGGTTTCTAATTAACATGTAGCAAGGGATTATAATATGTTTGGTATGTGTTTTCTTTGGTGAAAGGTAGTGTCTGTGAGCAAGGTATGTTGCTTTTAATGGCATGAAGCCATACAAGTCTCATGCATAGAGATTTGTAGTTACACCTCGTATATTTTGTTAACAAATTCTTTCCTTTTGCATTAAAGAGTGTTTTACACTCCATCCTTACTTCCTGTACTTTTGTCTTTCTAAGGCCAAAGCGTTAAGCTACTCAGAGACGGACCTTCGTAGGCCTAAGAGGTTTGCAACCATTTCATTTGGTCTTAGAAAGAAGAAGAAGGAGAAAGATGAAGAGAATATGTCGAAGAGCACTTTTGGTCTTCCTACCCAAGGCATTGAGGAGCAGGAAGAGGTAACAGTGAATCAATATCGTAGGTTTTTGAAAAATTGAGTTTGTTTAAAATCACTTAGAGCAATTTTGAAGGAACATATCTGTCCTGATAATACTTTTTGTATTGCTATGTGCTAAATTTATTGGGTTTCATTTTTCAGCTCGGTCTCATAGCAAATTGTGAAATGATCACATAATTGCAGTCGTATTCATGGGCATGAATTGTTGAATATGCTGTAAAAGAAGTAGCAGCTGTTGTATTTAAAGCCAAACCATGAACTTTTTCTAAACCAAACCCGGTAATTTTTAATTCCTAATTCCAACCAAGTAATTTGTTTAAATACTAAAGTATTAAAACATAAAAACAGAATCAATCTGCCCATCCATTTGGTTACATTTATTCAACTCGGGTGGGGTACACTATGAACAGGTCGCTAATGCACAAATGTGAAAATCTATGTCTATAATTAAATCTTGGGTTGCTGGTGAGAGTAGTGAAATGATTTGCTGCATCACCTACTCTTCCAGCTTCAAAATGTGAAACTTTAGTAATGATTTTGTTTACATGGATACAAATCATTGCGTAAAAACACAGATCTCTCAGGTTAAAACTGTATTGTGTATTTCATCAGTTAACGTATAACTAATCTTCTTCTAGACACCTGTGGAACAGGACCCAGGGAACAGAAAGAAGTTCAGTATGTCTCAACCAGAACTTGACAGCGACAGTAAATTTGACATCCCTTCACCTCCCCCTGTAGCTGCAAATGAAACTGACTCGTACTTCACTCTTTCGGCACAGTCCCAGTCAGTCCCAGTCACTGTGAACACCCAACAAGAATCAAAGGGCCCTCTTACGAATGCCTCTGATCTTTCGGATGTGCAGAGGCAAACCCTGAGAGCTCCAATTGCTTCCATTCCTGAGCTGCAACTTGATGATACCGGCTCACTGGAGGAGAAAGAGAACATTCCAGTTCACGACAGCTCAAGCAGAAATGATGTCAAATCAGCTCTTCTGACAGCTACTTCAGAAACAGCTTCTGTTGTTCAAACCCAGGCTGAACATACCCTTCTAGCCAGCCAGCCACCAACTGTGCTTGACAGTTCGGTTTACGAAGCAGCAACTGTCGACTCGGGCAATAATTCTTATGATTATATCCCCCAAGAAAATGAATCCACCAGTGGGACTTTACCATATCATCAGTCTGATGCCCCTGACACAGTTGACAGTACAATTTCAAATAGTGAGTCCTCCCTGACAAGTGTTGACAACAGTAACTACACCACTGTTACAGGGCCAAGTCCTGATCCTCAAAATGACAAGTTAGCTAGCAGTGCAGACTCTGCTGCCAACCATCATGAAATCTTCATTTCTCACACTGAGAGGTCTTTTCCTGAAAATTCCAAGAGCGTCAGCACAACCTCAGCTGTTAGCAGCGAAAGCAGCACTGCTCCCATCCATCAAGATAAAGTTTATGGAGCTCTGTACGAGTCACTTTTCCCCCAGAATTTTACCTCTGAGGTAATCTCTTCGCTCCTAAGCCCATCATCTCATATCTGCACTGATAAAAGACTTCTTGACACCAAAACAGAATTTGTCATTGTCAAAACCCACGATGAAAGTCATGCAGAAACAAATTATCAGTACTCCCAAACATTGACTTCTCATGATCTTGACTTGGCTGCTGGCAGAATGATTGATGCTCCTGATGGTTCGGCCTCCATCGGTGAAATAAAGGAAAGCTCTTTTGGTGAGAGCTCCAGAGTTTCTGCTTCTCAGATTCAAACAGTCCCAGAAAACCAAAACGGATATGTGCCTACCTCTCTCAGTGCAGCTTCCAAGTATTCTGACAGTGCTGGCATTTCTTACTCTGAGCTGACCCGCTCCCGTTCACAGTTGAAAGCGGACAATAAAAGCCTTGTTACCGACAGTGACTGGTCAGGCCCTTTGTGTCAGAACTCTGCCCCTCCCATATCCAACTATGAAACATCCCACGGGATAGATGCTCAGGTTACTGACTCCAAACGGAGAGTGATCCTAGTCAAAGAGTTAGTCACAGACGACACAAACGTTTATCCAGGCTGTAGCTCTTCGGTGCCTGATAAAATGAATCTGGTGAAGGATCTTAAGGTAGAATTTGAAACGACAGATGAGTTTCCTGCCCTTTCTGGACCAACGGTGCGAAATGACAGGCTCTTAAGTCCAGCATATCTAAGTGTTGGATCAGATGATGAAAGTACAAAGGAGATTTACTACAGTGCTGAGGAGGACAATGCAGAGGAGAGTGGGGACGAAGAGATGTTCACAATGGATGATAGAGAAGAGTCCATTGTGAGGCTAGGTGAGGAAATCGTACAGCACTCTGAGCCAATGGATAAAGGGATCAGCCAGAGAGATGAAGGAGAGTTCAGGGTCGTGATTGTGAAAATGGAACAGAAAGAAGACAAAATGGACGATGAAGGAAAGCGAGAGGATTATAATGGTCAAACTGAAGTACAGCAACAACTTGAAGAACAGAAATCGGGCAGTCAAGTGCATGAAATGGGAACATCTGAGAGTTGGGTGGAAGAACAATTAACCGCTGTATGGCCACAAATGAAAGAAGAAGAGGAGGAGGGTAGAAAGGAGGATTTACTAGCCACACCGGTTCAGCAGGTGAACACAATGATGGTATGTAGTTTTGCTCCTCCTCCCAGTGAGCAGCATGGGCAGGTGGAAGAGTCTGGGGGAAACTGGACTGTAGACTTGGAAACAGAAGACCACTCTAATGGAGAGAACCTGTTTCCAACAGAGGTGGAAGAAACTCTGCCTAACAAAGATTTTGCCGATTTTGGCCGCAAGCATGCTACTTCCAGCCACACAAAGGAAGAGGATGTGATTGTGCATATAACAACAGAGACAGAAGAGCAAGTTCCACTGATTGTGAATGCAGACAAGACCGGTGAAGGCAACAAAGACACAGAAAATAGCATGGGCATAACAAACAGCACATTAACAGATACTGCTGGGGCAGCAGAGGCTGTCATGGGCAATCTGACACACGGCACTCACCTGCAATCAGATGCCACAGAGATTGAACACAATAGGGTTCCACGGAGCACTGAGTGGGCGGATACAATTACTCAGAGCCCTGACAGAAACATTACCGTGCCAGAACAGGTGGCAGTTGAGCTGTCAGCATCGAACGCAGACACACACCATCTTGATAGTGACACTGCAGAGGGTCTCTGCGAGCATCCAAAGGAAGCCCAGCCTGACCTGAATGAAGGGTAAGTGGAAAGTTCTGTAATGTAGAAAAAGCTCCTTGGACTCCAAGAGTGTTTTTAACTTTTAAACTTAAAATAAATGCGCTAAACTCTTTTTGCCATTTCATGGTAAGAGTATTAAGGGAAAGTTGGTGAGAGAACACGTGAGAGTTGTTTTACCTATTTGAGTGTCAAGTTTTCATTCTTGCTGCCTCTGTAGCTACTGTGCTGGAATGCACAGCGTGTAGCTTCAGGCACATGCCAGACTGTGTTATTTAAAACCATCTTTAGTGACTCTAAACTCACAGCTTCACATTTACACATTACCATGTACAGTAGTCATTCAATCAGGCTTCTTAAATGTGTAAAGATTAAACGCGTTCTGTGATGATCAGGAAAGCAGTGGATGAGCTGCCTTGTTTATCAACACAGATTTCTACATACCTGTGAATCATGAACACACCCTTGAGAAAGTTCCACGTTAAGTAATTCAGCCTCAGCTCTGTAAATAAATGATATAGGCTGAGCAAATCCAATGAGCATGCGATAGATGTTGCCAGTCTACTCTGAAATGTACTTTCATACAAACGTCTTGAGATGTAAGTAACAAGGGGTTGAAAGTTCAGTTCTCTTTAAAAAACAAAGCAAAACCTTAAAAAGCCCCCTCCATCAACATCATCCCATCCAATCAACCCTAAAGGCTCAGTCTATCAGTTTATGTTTGTGTCATTTCAGTGTGGAGGAGTAGTTGTAGTTAAGTTTTTGAATTATAAGCACAAAATGGATACAAATATACATCATTTCTCCCAAGTCCAAGCTAATTTTGTCATGCTGCTTGTTTAATCCATCCAGCAGTTTTATATATATAATTCACCCATATGGAAAAGATGTATATAAACTATAAAGTTTGTATCTGGTGTGAAACTTGTATGAAACGCATACAAGAGTGGAAACAGATATAAGATCCCTGGAAAAATTATATAAATGAAACTTGTATGTTTTGGATACTTACTAAAACAATATATGAAAGTGGCCACTTTCATGAGTAAATCATATAAGCTTTATATGATTCACTATATGAGGTAGGCCACATCTGATGCAAGTCTTTTAAATGTTTTTTCTATTTGTTTTCCATATGGACAGGAACACAGCAAATCCTCATATTTGTAAAGTTTGTATTTTTTTTTTTAAAAGTTTGTTTAAAAAAGAAAACAGAATAACAAGTAATAAAATAATACGATAAATAATACGATAAGTAGAATTCAACAACCTGAGAACCAGTATGGAGTATGGATATAGAATGTAGGTATAAATATAAGTATAAAAAGTTTAGCAGCACAGGGTGTGATGACCAGCATTGATAAAGTGACAGTGTCAGTAGTGATTAAGGTGCTACAATAGCAGTTCTTGTCCATTTATGCATTGAGAAGTCTCACAGCTTCTGGAATGAAGCTGTTTCTCAGTCTGGTGGTTTTGCATTTAATGCTTCTCAGCCTCCTGCCTGAGGGGAGCGGGACAAAAGTGTGTGTGCTGGGTGAGTGGGGTCCTTCAGAGGGGAGTGGCCCTCTTCCTGCATCTGGAGATGTAGGATGGTTGGAATATCCACATTGCATGCTTTGTGTTTAATAATGTGTACGTTATACTTTATTGATAGTTTATACTTTATTGATCCCCGTGGGGAAATGTCTCTCTGCATTTAACCCATTTACTCAGTGAAGCAGTGGGCAGCTATTAGGCCTCTGGGGAGCAGTGTGTATGGACGGTACCTTGCTCAGGGGTACCCAGGGTAGTTTTCCAGTAATGGGTTTAGGTCTATGTGAAGAATGTCTAGGTCACTTGCATGTTATGTATGTGGCTTTTTGTTTTTGTTTTTTAAGCATCCTCTCCAGAAGTATCAGGAGCAGAGCCTTGTACTGTACTTGCATGTAATATTCTTGATATTTAACCAAACTTAAATTCAAGTCCTGACACGTAGAGCACTTGCCCTCATATTGTCACATTTATGTAACACAACTGTGTTTGCCATCATGAGTAAAAAAAATTTGTTTTGTTTTGTCTGAAGCTGGCATTTGACCAGATGTCTTTATTTAGTTGAACAAATAAAACTTTAAGTAGCGTTAAAAGGAAAAAATGGAAAGAATTTTGAGCTTGTGACCACACCTTGACCCCGTACACACTGAATAAGTGAAACCTGCTCTGTTTGAGGCATCAAGCTTAACAATGTTTTGAGCATGTTGGCTTGTGACGATAAGCAGCACAATTTTAAGAGTATAAAGCACAAGACAATAGCATTACTTACTGGCATATCACAAGACTTTATCAAATACATTTTTGCTTTGCAACCTCTACATTATGAACATCTTTAAACTATCAGCAGGAATGGTGCGAGTCTTCAGATCATTTTTGATTAGTGAAGCAGATGACAGGCAGTAACTTTTTGTTGCACATTTTTGGTGCCATCATGTGGCAGAAAATCCCCAGTTTGTGTGTCCTGCCAGTTTGGTCCTGGCCGGACACAGAAATCCATTTTGGGACATCTGGTGTTTTAAATAAATAAAATTAATTAATTAAAAACAATCAAACATTGCAGTACAAACAAGATTGCAGTAGAAAGTAGCTGTTACAGAACTACTGCTACACCTAGTTCAGAAAGGGTAACAACTTGCATCTACTGTGACTTTTGAGACGATGCTCAATTCAGTTTCATTTATACAGCGGCAAACAGTCGCCTCGTGGCACTTTATATTGTAAGGCAGACCCTACAATAATGCATACAGAGAAAAACCCAACAATCGAAGGAAGACAGGATAAAAGACATGCTGTGGAACAGAGCCAGAATGCAATGCAGAAAGGTCTATTAACACAGTGAGTGAGGAAGGTGACTGAAGAAGAAATACTCAGTGCATCATAGGACTCCCCCAGCAACATACACCTATTGCAGCATAACTAAGGGAGGATTCCCTAACTATGTGCTTTATCAAAAAGGAAACTTGTTTCATGACACTTTATTTTTAAAACCACAAGATGGCACCGAAGAGGTGTTTTAGCTGTGAGTGGTAGGTAATCAATGAAAGATTGCTATTACTCACACATTAAAAACAGGCTGTAGTTTGGGCTCACAGGAAGGGTGGTAACATACGTTTACTGTGTTAATTTTTAAAAATAATTATTTTAAAAAGAAGCCCTAAGATTTGTGAAACACAAATCATAGATTAAGCTCACCAAGCAATGGTGTCATATTTAGATTTTGCGTCTGTTTTCGACTTTGGAAAAGATCAGAATGCGTCTTGCGAAACTCAGTTTATGCTTGTTGAAGGTGAAGAGCTGCATGTATTAGCCAGGTAATTTAAAAGCTTTACAGACTGAAAAAGAACAAATGAGGATTAGTAAGAAGTACAGTAGTGCTCACCTTTTTGCATAGCAAGCCGGAAAAACATGTTGTGGCCTCTGGCCCTTAAAATAACACCAGGTTTCTGATGAAGAGGTGTGCTGATGTGCAGTGAAAGATGAGCAAGGCATTTAGCCAGCCCCACCTGTCGTGCATTCTTTCTGTGTATTGAAGTCCGGTGAGATGCACATTTCCACTTGTGATGCCTCTTAGGGACCTCCTATTTATGAAATGCAGTTTATCTATTGAACTTTTTTTTTCTCTGTAAAAGTACAGTTTCGATATCTGCTGTATTATTTTCCTACCTCTGTGCAAAACTGAGGGCCCATAGGACTGTTTCTGGTGAGAGTATAACCGAAGCCAGTCGAGCCACTTATGTCTTTAAACTAAACCATGGCACTGGGCTTTCCCTTTTGTTTTCCTTCCACGTGTGACCATCTGACAGCTTAGTTGAGACATCCATAGAATGTCAAACTTGTGGAGAATTCACTTTGTTGTAAATGACCAGAACATACTCGCAAAACCACATCTTGACCTGACAGAAGTGATCTTTCCTCAGTTTAAACAATGAACGTGTTAGATAAAGAGTCTTCAGGGATTTCATCTCAGGTGTGTGTGTGCCTTCCTATAACATACTATAACTAATGCAAAACCACTGAAGTCATGCTGATATACCAATCTGAAAACAGTTTTTAAATCTGCACAAGTGGAATAAATTTAGACAGTCTAGATTAAGTCAATAGATATTATCTTAAGTTCAAAGGCTAACACAAGCGTAAGTTTATCTTAAGTATCTTGCTTATCAGTTTTTATCTTGAGAAGACTTTTAGTAGTTTAATCATTTAGACAGTCCAAGAACAGAAAACCAAAAATGCCTTCAGCATATTGAAGGCGTTACACCTCTGGTCCTTTGCAGCTTCTCATGTAAGCTGGCTGTAGGTTGGGTGTGTGTTTTTTATTATGCTAGATCGAGTTCATCTGTTTGCACAAGACTTAAACTGGCAATCATTCAAGGGCACCATTTATATTCACTGTCTCTCGGAGTTGTTGAGGCCTTTTGGGTGGTATTTGTCAGTTTCAGACTGCGATACTTTAAAACTGTTGTTTGTTTTTTTTTGTTTTTAATTTATTATTATTTATTTTTATTACTGAAAGAAGCTACATTCCTGTCAAGAGATCATAAGGTTTCCCAAGAAATTATACAGAGGGTAGTGATGTTCTTTGATATTTGGTGTATGATGAAATGTGGCTGATTGTTGCAGGCCAGCATGAAGAAGTTTAGGATCACTGCCAGACTCTCCAGCCACCTTTCTTGACATCTTTATAATTATCATCTTCTACATTCTTGTTTCTAAAGAAACCTTTATGTCCCCTTGACTGGAATCTCTGTGTTTATGCAAAACAATAGTTAAAAAGCATTCCTTTTGTCCCCATAAATCTTCCCGCTTGAAGGATTGAGGTTTGAGACTGACAAATGCT